GTAATTATTTTTTTTACAAAAAAAGTAATTTTTCACTTTTGATTGAATACCGCAACGTAGAATGCCGATATGGGCATGGCAAACACACCTTTGAAAAGCTTGAAATCTGGCGATTCCAAGAATATATACTTTTCTGGGTCTATTTGTAGTCGTTTGGTCCCAATTAGAAGATGAAAACAAGTATGCAAATAATAGTCTCGCTACCTTAAAGAAAAGCAGAGAAAAATTATTATTCGGATCTATTTACTAAGTATCATAATAATTCTGGTAAAACTTGGGAAATTATCAATGACTTACTTGGCTCCACTGAAAATATAAATCAAACTTTACTTAAAGAACTAAAAATTAATGTTGATAACACCGATAAAATACTATCAAATCCTACTGACATTGCAGAAGGCTTCAATAACTACTTTGTTAATATTGGACTCAACCTGGCCTCAAATATTACCAATCCCCCCAACAATTTCATCACTATCTTAATGACCCCAGTGTGAATTCCTTCTTTCTTGCACCAGCTACAGAACAGGAGGTAGCTTTGACATTAAGCCGTCTTGATCAGAAAAAAAATCGTCAGGCTATGACTGTTTACCACACGACTTCTTGTAGATGGAGCTGATATCATTTGTAAACCACTTTGTTTTATTTTTAATTTATCGTTTTTACAGAGACATTTTTCAAATGCATTAAAATGGCAAAGGCAACTCCCCTCTACAAAAAAGCCAATATCAATATCCCCGGGAACTATATGCCAATCTCAGTGTTAACCCTTATTAGCAAGATTCTAGAAAAAATAGTTAACAAACAACTACTGCATTATTTGGAGAACGAGAAAATTCTTTACAAGCATCAATACGGGTTTCGTAATAAATTCAGCACTAAGCTTTCCCTAATCAATTTAATAAACACACTACTCCTTCAAATTGACGATGGCAAGCCATCTATCGAAATATTTATCGATCTTACAAAAGCTTTTGATACTATTAATCATACAATTTTGCTGAAAGAGATGGGTGAATATGGTATACGCGGGCTTCCAAATAAGTGGTTTAAAAGTTATCTAGAAGATAGATCACAATTCATTTTTTCAAATAGTGTTTCATCTGGGCAACTTCCTATATCATGTGGTGTACCACAAGGTTCAGTACTTGGCCCTACCTTATTTCTTTTGTACATTAATGACTTCCCAAACTCTACTAATTGTTTTTAACTTCAGACTCATTGCTGATGACTTGTTTCATTCTTTTTCACCAGGGGCAGATATTGATATGTGTATCATTAACAAACATTTAAACACTGTTGTACACTGGTGTGATGCAAATAAGGTGACAATCAATTGTTCAAAAACAAATTATATGATCATCAGTGGCAGGCGTATGTGTGTGACAGTAAGAGGTGTCCTGTCCATAAAAACAACGTAGTATACGAGACTGAATCAGCAACTTTTGTAGGGATAGAAGTTGATAAATATCTGACCCGGGATAACCACATTTCAAAAATCAATAACATTGTTAGGAAAAAGACAGGTATCCTCTTAAAATTAAGACATTATGTCCCACGGCATATTCTCCTTTTGTTATACAAGACGTTGATTCAGCCTCATATCACTATGGATTAGAAGTTTGAGGTAGCACATACCCGTCACATTTTAAAGATATACATACCACATACAAAATGATAGCCAAAATTATAACGTGTTCCGACTTTATTGCGCATGTTCCATTAATTTTTAGTAGTCTCCAAATTCATTACTTTTAAGTTTTATATGTATGATATTATTCATGAGAATCTCCCACAATCAATGTCAACATATAATTTGCAGTATTTACATCATAAATACAGAACACGACAACGATGTCGAGATGATTTACTTGTACCTAGAATGAACTCAGTATTTGCAATATCTTATTTAAGGGCCAAACTTTGGAACAACAGATTAATTTCTTTAAGGTCTAAACGAAAACTTATATTCAAAAATACTGTACGTGAAAATGTTATGTCAGAGTATTTGGAATAGAATTAATATTTATTATAAATGTATGTGTATATATATTATTATTTTATACTTTATATTTTGGTGTGTGACTACCTACTATCAGTCTTAACGTAAGTCATTAAAGTCATGTCATGTCATGTCATGTCATGTCAGGGATCTGACTCGACTAGCTTTTAAGCTATTTCAGATTCCATTTTACCTAGACTGCATGTACAATTTTGGGTATTGTATGGAATATTTTCTAGGTAAATAAATTATTATTAATATTACATTAGAAACCATGCCATGTACGTATACATGAAAATATACGTTAGTTATACGTCTCAGTGGACATGGCACAACCAGGATATGATATGCTGGAATGCTGCACGCATGTCAGAGTAACTCTGCAGGTACGACACTGATTCCGATTATGTAGCACTCCATGCTGTGAACTACGATGTGCTATTAAATAAAACAAAAACGCGAACAAAGTGTATTCTTACTCGCATGTACTGACATTGCAGCAGATTCTTTTACCAAGTGTCAGGACTGACACGTGACCATATTTATGTGTTCAGCTCATCTGATCAGCAAGTATCTTGATTATGGCGTACAAGCCACGTGGAATCCTTCATCAACTCAACTCAACAAATTTAACTGAATTCAACATCAGATCTTGAAACAGCAATAGAAAACCGCTGCATTTCGATCACAAACTCCGTGTACTTTTATTAGTGTTTGGTAAAAAACTGAGTACAATATTTAGAATGCGTATATAAATCACTCCCCAAAACAGAATATACATCACATATATTGTCATGAATCAATTTATAAAAAAAGCATCACCATAACAACGTAATTTACGTCAGGTATTCATGACACATTGTGCGCATTTCTCAGTGGACTTCGTGTAATATAGTAGCCTGGATGCCATGTCACAGTTCTGCTGGTTACGCTTTTTTCCACTACATTCTGTCTAGTGAGTGAGCAACCATTTTTACGGTGATGATTGCGTTTTCAGACTAGTAGTACATTGACCATACCATACAATAATACACCCTAGACGCAAAATGGCCGCTGAGAACACGTTGTGAGTGAGAGAGTCACGGGGCTTTATTCTCCTCAAATACTGTTTTATTGTTTATCATGCCCGTGTTCACTGTACCCATGATCTACGTAACCATGGCATTGTAACAATGGCCGTGATGACGTGTGAGAAAACGACACTGATTAAGGGACAAAAACAAGTCTCGTTCTCTCGCCCACACCGAGATATCGGCGGCCATTTTCGAATAACATTTTGATTCACACAGGATGTATATTCGAGGTGTAAACTACATATACCATTCTGCACACATTTTGGAACGGTTTCCTAGGTTTTAAAATTAATTTGGAGTCATTAGTTTAAGTCCGGTTAATGTGAATGTTTTCAAAATAGCAGGAGATTTTCCGTCCATGTCATATTTGTTAATTACACCCGCAGG